TTCCAATTTTTTGAAGCTTAGAATCAGTTTTCCATCTCTAATCATCAAAGATTAGTTTTTAAGCTTTGAATCGTATCATTTACACCAGATTTTAACCCATTTTCATTATCATTTTTTTCGCCTGTTTCTCTGTTTTTTTCTCCAGATTCACCAACATTATTTTCACGAAGAAGTAAGCTTTCTGGCTGTTACACCAATCATGTGTTAGTAAATCCTCATCCTACCATAACATTCTGCTACACTCTTAGAATGCACAACAAACAAATACCACTGCCCATCCTTCTTTATTTAAGAGATCTCAGTTGGAAATGCTACTCCAGTGTGGTATAAGTTCAACTATTGTTTTTTCTTTCAGATTATTTTGGGCATTGTGTTTAAATTGTCTGCTATATTTGAATTCCTTGTGCAGATACACATTTCATATACTCTCTGACTGGAAACATTATTTCACATGCTCCTGCTAAAGGCAAAACCCGACTCACCATAGTATTTCTCCAGTCATTCATGAAACTCTATCCAACATGCCGACAGTAAATATTGCTCCCGTGGAATGCTCCTCTCACCTGGGAAGATGAATTCTCAAAGTGGAATGTTGCCATACCTTTTCACAATTTGAATAGCCTGGGAAATATGATCAAATCAGATGATTTTGGTTAGTGAATTATCTTTTCAAAAATGTGACTAAAACTTTTATCTTCAACCGATGCTTCAAACACTTCATATTCCACAACAATATTAGTCAAAACCTTCCACATTTGACTTTAGTGATTGCGATGGGTGTGTCCTTCATCTAACACTAAAACATGAGTCAATTTAAGCAGCTTTATCTCCAATACTCCCTACAAACTTCTCAAACAGCTGATAGCTCACTCCTAAAACACTACTACCCTTCGTCCAAGAGGAAAACTTAACCAAACGAACGTACTCCTAGCTCTTCCTGCCTACTTGGCTAATTATTTAAGAGAAACAGTATTTTCCTCGGCAGACGATTCCAAGCTATTCAAATTGTGAAAACGTATGGAAACATTCCACTTTCGGAATTCATCTTCCAAAAATGACGAACATATCATGGGAGCAATAATTACCGGTCGACATGTTGGATAGAGTTTCATAAATGACTGAAGGAAGACTATGGTGAGTCTCATTATTATATTCTCAGTTTCATATAAGTGATGTATTCGTCAATAATAATCCAACTGGTATGCACTCTTCGAAGCCTTCTAATTATACTGTTTTGAACAATTTACATAATTGTCGCATGAAAACCTTTTTTATCGTTCTAATTAGATAATTCTTACTCCCCTAATCCCCCTAAATATATTAACTGAATGTCAGGCTGTTTGACACTAAACTAGATTCTCGTGATTATCTATGAATAGTGTTGATAGATATCTATGAATAGTGTTGATAGATATTACTTTTAGCAACATTTTACAAATTTGATGAAGTAGCTAATATCAAATATGTTGTTGACTCTATCATTGTTGCTGTCTTCAGATTAATATTAGTTAAAATCATGTTATTGTTCTCAATTATTGGGAGACTTATCTGACATGCCAAGTAACTGTTGTTACACAAATAGTTTTTCATTTACTGAAAATCCTGTCGACTTTAAATCAGAAATTGTCCATATTTTGTAATTGTCCTTCTAATTTCAAGATCTGGAAAATATTGATATAAATCACCTTCTATTTACTCTATTTAAATATCTGAGGATCTGATTTATTTCTGTGTATTAGTACTGGTTCTCGTAAATAGATGAGTTTCAAAAGTATAAGAGGTCAGAACATAAACCTAAGATATTCTGCTTATTTTGTTTTAACTTTCAGTTAATATAATCTCTGCAATCGAGTTTGATAAAACTGGTGACCATCTTGCTACTGGTAACCGTGGTGGAACAGTGGTGTTATTTGAAAGAACTCATGGGAAAGAAGTGACTTTGCAAACTGTACAAAGGTTTATTTTATTAGCAATGTAGTCAGACATCTTCTTACCTTTTCGCTTTGCAACTTGTTCTGCAGCATGGTGCAAATAGAAGAGATTTGAAAAGGATGGACTATCCCAGTACTCAACATCCAGAATTTCATTACAAAACTGAATTTCAGAGCCATGAACCTCAGGTATTTGTTTCTGCTTTTGTTCATTGCCTCTCCGTGTTTGTCCATGAGATTCAATAATTGGTCTTTCTAATACGCTACTCTAGATATTAACAGTGAAGTTGTGAATGGTCAGCTTGGTGTCTCTTCTTTCGCTTACCCCCTACCCCCACTCCCTTCAAAAGGGGAAAACTAAAGACAACACAATAAATAAATAAAATCTTCAGAGTTGTTAACATATGCATTCACATATTCATTTCAGTTTGATTATCTCAAGAGCTTGGAAATCAAAGATAAAATTAATAAGATCCGGTAGTGCCAAACAGCTAATGGTGCCATTTTTCTTTTGTCCAAATCACAAAACCATTAAATTTTGGAAGGTGAAATAACCGATTCCATTTTTATTTTAATCATTGTTCATGCCAGTAAAGAGAAAGATGTACCAAGTGTTCTAAGTTCATTGTTACAGCTGTAAAATAAAAATTCCTGCCTCGTGTTCATGGTATGTTGGTCTTCTATTATTATGCAAAGGATCTGATTTCTTGATTTCAATGCATAGGATCTTGGTCTCTGGGTTTTTCTTTTTTTCTTTTCTTCCCACATCTTAACATGCATTAGTTCATGGGATATTTTGTTCAGTTTTCTTCAATGAGTCCAGCAACCTGATCTTGTGTTTAGTTTTAATATGGTTTAAATTTCTCTTTGTAAGGCAACTTGGTCTTTTGCAAATATGTTGCACATCTACTTAATGTGAAACCTTTGTGTTCCATGTATACTAAATCAGGAAAAAACTTGATTGGAAGTGTTTATTGGTGCATATATGTGTTTGCTGCTATAACTAATCTGGCGATTATGCCAAATATTTAGTATTACTTCAATTCTTCCCAGGATCCTGTTCTTGAGTAAAGAATCGGTTTTTACACCTTTGGACATCCCATCATTTTAATGCTTGGTATTTAATTAAACAGGTCCAAGAGAAGAAAGTCAAGAAAATTCGTGCAGCAAACGTAGATCCTTTGAAAGGAGCTACAAATGGCAGCATTGCAAGTTCAAGCGTTTCTTCAAGTCCTAATCAACGTATTCCTAATGGGGGCAGTCTAGACCAATCTTATAGCTTTTTAGCAATTGCTTTTGATTCATAAATTTTGAGCAACCTTTCCACTTGTGATATTTTCATAATGAATATCATAATTTTTTGCATACTTAATTCATTTCACATTATAGCCAGACAACATTCATCTTTTTGCCTTGGATTTACTAGCAAGACATCTAACATTACTCTTCTTACACAGAAAAATTCATCTTTCCTCAAAATTAAACAATATTCATTAATAAGTAATTATTTTTATTCTTTCATTAACCTTCTATAATTGTGTAAAATAACCAAAAATCATTCCACGCTATTAAATAACCAACTACACTATGACACGTGCATTGCATGTGTGCCTAACTTGTGATTATTTAAAGAGGGAGTTAAATTAGTCATTTTACGATGTTTCAATGGAGAAAATGAACGGGACCTTTTGCGCAAAGAAATATCGATCTGAGTGCGAAAATGTTAAAATTGAAATAATAAGGACGATTTGCGTAATGAAGGCAAATAATATTGACTTTTTGCACTAATTACCTATATTTCTAAGGATTTAGTGGAACGTGACGAAAATGACCAACTTCGCAAAAAATGTTTGAAATGAAATTGTAAATGTTAAAATTGAAACGATAGAGACTATTTCCGCAATGAGTACAAACAATAAGGATGTTTTTTATTTCCTATTTACCCTTGTTTTTATATATATATAAACTGGTTCTAGAATGAGCATATTTTGGTCTACATAACTCTAGCAATGTCAAAGAGCTGATCCACAAGCCGAAAAAAAAAAAGCTCACGCTCGCCTCGAGTTTTTTGGGGTCGAGCTTTTTTGGACCCGAGCAGAGCCAAGCAAAGTCCGGCCAAAGAAATGAGGCTCGGCCCNTTTGGGCCCAAGCCGAGCAAAGCCCAGCCAAAAAAATGAGGCTCGGTGTAACCAAGCCCTAGCCGGGCCCGGCTCGGCTCGAACTTTTTTCGAGCCAAGCCCGAGCCTTCCGAGCCGGCCACCTTTTTTGCCATCCCTACATAACTCCTCTGATTTTGAAGAAATTGAAACTATTCGTGATATTGACTTTCAAAGAAAGCTTGAAAGAAATATGGTTTGTGAAGGTTTTAAGTGCAAGGTTCATTGGAATTATGGGAGTAAGCCAATCAACAAGAATTTTATTACTTGTTTTGCCACAGTCGTAGTTATAAAGTAAAAACTTCACAAGAGTCAAAGACTAGAAATCTTTTTTGTTAGAACTATAGTGGTGGCCAGTCATATGATTTATCATATTTATTTTAAAAATAAATTAATTCAAGTTCATATTGACTCAAAAGTCATAAGTGTACAGGGAATGTTGGATATATTGGTGTATGAATTATATTCTGTTAAAAAAATACGTGCATATAAATATTAGAGTAATGACTTACCGAATCATAGTACATGCATAATTAAGAGAAAATCACTACTTACTCAAATGTAGAAAATCCAGAAATCGAAGGAGATAAAATTAAGCAAGGTTTGCGAATGCAAATTTCTGACGGATTTTGCTCTCTGAACTGGTGCTAAAAGAATCAACGGGACGTCCATCTCCTAATATACAACGTTTCTTCCTAATTAATATTGCACATACTAATTTTGTCAGACGAACCAACACTTGGTCGTACTCTTCTAGAACAAAAGATATCGAATACGAAACTCAAAAATAATTTGGAAATTATTTTGATAGAATTTAGAAAATGAAATAATTAGAAATCAATTATATGAAATTGTTTGGAGTGAAGAAAATGAAATTTTGAGGATCTAATTTATAAATTTGTCTGCGTCTCTTCAAAAGGTCACAACTTATGGTCAAATTAATTCCAATCATTAAATGACACCATTTCAAAATTGATGGGTTAGATCATACTTTACCAAAAGGTCACACCCATTCGAAACAACTCTTTGATATGCACCATTTGCATTTAAAGAGTCCTGAAATTTACGCAGTTCAGCCCTAACAAAACCTAGAGGGGGGTGAATATGTATTTTATGCGAAATTAAAATTATTAATTAATTAACAACAAGTCGCCAATTAATTATCTCTAGATGGTTATTCAATCAAGTCAATTAATCATATGTTTAAATATCGCAGTTCATATAAACATTAAGTAAAGCAGTAAAAAACACAAGAATGATATCGGAGAAACCCCAACTGGGTAAAAACTTCGGATACTTTTGTCAGTCAACAATCCATTATAAACGATTCGTGACTTACAGTCCATCAGACTAGACGACGACGCCTGATCTCCTGACTACAATTTCGACGGCTCTCTTGAATTCTGTGCTCCTACACCAATTCCAGCTGCAATTTCCAAAGCTCTCTTGGGTTCTGCTCTCCTAAAGCAACTTCTAGCTTTGTGGAATCGTTTATCTCCTATGGAACCCGAAGAACAGCCCGTTCTTCACCAACTAAAACTCTAGTTACCTTCCTTGATCTTCAGCAACTCTGACAGATATGTGGGAAGAAGTGATTTGGTATTTGGATTAAGAATCTGATGTTTTTCGCCACCAAGAACAGTATATCAAAGAAACATGAAGGTTGAAAGCTCCAAAGATTAAGAGAATATGAAAGGACAGTGTTTGCTCAATGTTCAACCTTAAGAATTCTCGTTCTGTGGCTTTAGAATATATATAGGTAAGGTAGAAAACAGATGGGCCGGGAAAAAACCTTTAAAATATGAAATAAAAAATTCCCGTATAACCCTGTCGCTCGAGCGAGGGCTCGCGATGGTCGAGCGACAGGCTGTCGCTCGAGCGAATGAAGGGCGACAGTCTAGCGATGCAGTTTCTGTTTTTGTAGCTCGAGCCAACCCTTAGCGACAGTCTAGCGAAAATCCACTCCGTTTTCCTCCTTGTTCAAAACTTGAAACCCTAGACCTATTTAACTAAATTTTAAACAAATTGCACATTACTCC